CACACATGTCTGGCATGAGTTAAGCTACTGGGTCTGGGACTCGAACCGTGGTCAACTACATGGGAGTTCAGCCACATAGCCATTATGCTAACTGCTGGTCCCCACACTAGTTTTTATAAGGCTTTACAATGAAGTAGTGGTTAATGGTCACAAGAATTCCTATATCATTTAGGCTTCTGTTATGGGTGTCCTTTGGCACTAACTGTGGCCCTTTTCCACCAGCTATTCTTTCGGTAGCACTTCCCATGTATTTTGGACCTATCAGCTTACTGCATAGTTTTCACTGGGCCCAGGTACTTCAGATTTCAAAGTTAGGAGTTGTGTGGTCATTGGTGCCTGACTTTAATTGTTTCACCTAATGGCACTTAATGCTATTTTGGGCCAGAAGGACAAAGGGCAGGGAAAAATGTGACTTCCATTAAGTTAAAGTGGGCTGACTGGCTTCACAGTCCTTTTTCCCTCTCAGGCTTTCCATCACGGCTCCCCTTTTGTTACTTATTCTACCTAGCTGCCTAGCCAGAATCTTCCTCAATAGGAGCTGAAGCTAAAACTAACAACACATCCATGAAGTAGATACTAGTATTATCTCTGTCCAATAAGAATTCAGATACATGGGGAAGAGAAGAATCTGGAACTCTCCAGAAAGACAGAGAGAGGACAGAAAGCGAGTCACTCCCTGGAGGGATGGCCATGCCGCAATCCCTTCTCCTCCATTCTCCTCTCGGGATTTTGGGCACACATGCACATGTGCCCAGCGTGAGTTTAAGCCACCAGGTCCAGGACTCGAACTGCGGTCGACTACATGGGAGTTCAGCGACATGACATGGCCATTATGCTAATTGCTGGTCCCAGAATCTTACTTTTGGTCATAGAGCTTTGAAGTAGTGGAGTCAACTTTGAAGTCAGAATTAAAATCCTGTACTTTTTTATTTATTTATTTATTTTTAGATTTTTGTTATAGGGTATGTGCGCTTGCCAGAGAGACAGAAAGAGAGAAATCACCCTCCTCCTGGGGGGGATGGCCATGCCACAATCCCTTCTCCTCCAGTCTCCTCTCAGGATTTTGGGAATGCATGCACACATGCCTGGTGAGAGTTTGAAGCCACCAGGTCTGGGACTTGAACCACAGCCAGCCATGTGAGAGTCCAGCATTTTAACCACTACACCACCTGTTGTCCCCCATATCCTGTATCTTAAATGTTACACTGTATTGCTCCAATGCATCAATGGTAAGGTCCCAGGCCCAGAGAAGAGAGAATGACTTTAATCTGGAGAGACTGCAAATGGATGGTATTCCTCAGAGCCCCTGAATGTTGCAAGATCAGCTGAGGTCTCCACATTCCAGGGTAGAGGTTTCTCTTCCCTTGCTATGAATGTCAGAATGACTGGGAAAAAAAAATCTAGTCTACCCACATATACACATATATACCTTTTAATAATTCTAGTTCAGTTATTTCGATCTCTCTTGTTAACCATTGTGTAGATATGCTCAGCAACTACCCTCAAGTCGAGATCAATGTTCCTCTGTTTCAGGCTTTCTCCACCTCAGCACGGTTGACATTTAGGGTTGGATTATTCCTTGTTGTGGAGGCAGTTCTTGTAGAATGTTCGGCCACATCCCTGGCCCCTGCCCACTAGATACCATTTGCATCGCCTCCCAACTCAATGTGACAACCAATAATATCTCCAGAAATGCCCTCTGGGGAGGAAATTACTCCAAGTGAGAGCCACTAATCTGAAATAGACTGAAAAATTGGCAGGGATCTAGAACTCTGGATGCAGCTAGGCAGAAGGCAGTGATGGAGTCTGTGTAAGGCATATTGATTTTTCATTTTCTTACCTGGGTGGGCATTTAATTCTATAGCCCACAAATTATTTTTTTCTAAGAAATAAAAGTTTCTTTTTATATAACTCATCCATTCCTCCTGATGGCACAGGATGTTAAAGTAGTCATTTCTACATAAACAAAATAAAGTATAATTTAATTCCAAATGTTTCATTTCTTCTCCAGCCACTTTTATCCAAAAGAGTCAGTGTTACTGAGGTGTTTTGGAGGGAGGAGAGATGTTTAATCTGTGGTTGTCGTATGTCCTCCTCTGGCATCTACCATAGTGGAACAATCTCATTTAGCCTTTGGCTTGGGTGTCTTCCCATTAGACAGCTGATGAGACTTCCGGTCCTAAGTTATATAAGTAATGCCACTTAAGGTATTTACCAGAAGCAGCACTTCTCTCTACTTGTGATAAATATCACCAACAATAGAGTCAGAAGATTTTAGGTTAATATCTTAGAAATACTGAAGGAAAATATCTAACAATATCACCCACAGACTTCTATTAAACTATTGAATAATACACTTTAGTAAGAATAATTGGGGCAGGGGGAGTTAGGGGTATAAGGAGCAATAGTTTAAAAATAGACATGGATGGGGACCAGCAGTTAGCGTAATGGCTATGTCACTGGACTCCCACATAGTCAACCGTGGTTAGAGTCCCCGACCCGGCAGCTTAAACTCATGCTGGGCGCGTGTGCATGCATGCCCAAGATCCCAAAAGGAGAATGGAGGAGAAGGGATTGTGGCGTAGCCATCCCCCTTGGGGGGGTGATTTCTCACTTTCTGTCTCTCTGTCTCTCTCTGTCCTTCTGGCGAGTGCACATGTCCTATAGCAAAAACCTCTCCAAAAAAAAAAAAAAGATAGACAGATGGGACCAGCAGATGGTGTAATGGTTACACCGCTGGACTCCCATGTAGTCAACTGGTTCGAGTCCCAGACCCAGCACCTTAAAACTCATACAAGGCACATTTGTGTGTGTGCCCAAAACCCCAAGAGGAGAATGGAGGACAAGGGACTGTGGTGTGGCCACCCCCGGAGAGTAATTTTTTGCTTTCTGTCTTTCTCTGTCTCTCTGGCAAGCACACGTGCCTTATAGCAAAAATCTCTCTCAAAAAAAAAAAAAGACAAGGAAATTAATGAAATTTGATTGTAATAGTTAAATAATCTTATGAAATGCATTTTTTAAATTAAAAGAGTAAAACTAAATCTTTGAACAATAAATGATGGGAAATATCAGTGGGACGTTAAAGTTTGCTAAAATATGCTTTCTATTTGGAGGAAGACAAAAAGATAAAATTCATTCAGACTTTATAAAAAAATATAAATGTTTTTAAAAATGATCATTAAGAAAATAGAAATTTATTTTACAGTTTCTAAACAAGCAGAAGTAAAAAGAAGGACAACAAAGGCATTATCTAAACAATGAAAACATAAAAGAGAGGACCAAAGAGAGGGATGATGAATGGAAAACAGAAAGGATTATAGAAATAAATCCAAGATATTAAATCATAATAAATATAAATGAATTATTTTCATCAATTAAAATATTTATTGTATAATATAAAGGTACTTTTAATGTTTTAAAAACAAGATTTCAAGTCAAGAGTCCCAAATATCTAGTAGTCCTGTAGAGAAAAGAAATTAAATGGAGAAACCATCAAAGTGCTGAAAAGTTTAAAGTCTGACAATGTAAGTGTTGGTGAGGTTGTAGAGAAAGGGAAAGTTTAACACGGAATGGGTAAGAATACAAATTAGTACAATCACTATGGAAAACATTTGGTTATCTCTAGTAACTTTGTAGATATATAAAATTTTCACCTAGCAATTGTGTGTGTGAGTGTGTATGTGTGTGTGTCCTAGAAGAACATGCAAATGTGTAAAAAGAGACATATATAACAATACTGAACTTGCATTAGGGTAGTGAAAAATTAAAACCAGTTAAATGTTCATCATGGAAATGCATGTATGAATTTTTAGTTATATTATGGAATACTATCAATAGTTGAAAAGAGTAAATATAGGCCCAGCCATGGTGGTACAAAGTGGAGGGTGCCACTGCACAATAACTAGGGCCACATGGAAGGCCCAGGTTCAGTTCTCAGCCCTGTCTAAACAGGCCAGGCACAGTGGTAAGCACCTGTGGTCCTGACTGGGAAGCCGGGGCAGGAAGGATCAAAAGGGGGCAAAACCATGTCAAAAGTACCTATCTCACTCTTTACTCCCCCCTCTAAATAAAAAATAATTTAAGCAGTAAGTAATAACATAAATATTTCTAAAACAATCATGTTAAGAGAAATTACAAATTAGAGTGATAGATCAGTATGATCTTAATTTATAGTTTGCCTAAAGCATGATAAATAATACTGTGTAGTTTTTATGATTAAATATTTATTGGGTTGTCAGGAAAGTCATGATGCATTTTTGCATAGAAAAATGTAGAAAAATAAGTCATGACTCTCCTGACGAGATGATATGTAGTGATAGTGAAAAAAAAAATACATGGAACAATAAATCAGAGTTGAAATTGTAGTTACCTCTGAGGAGAAGGGAGGAGAATCAGTGTCAGAACAGTGTGCACAAGAGTTTCAAGTCTATTTAATGTTTTATTTTTTTTTAAAATGTGTGGGAAAAAGAAAAATAAAATGACTTAGTAACATTGAGTAATGATACTTGGGTGTTTGTTATATTCTATGCTTTTCTAACAGTCGAAAATATTTTCAGGACCAGCAGTTAGTGTAATGGCTATGTCACTGGACTCCCACATAGTTGACCGCAGTTCGAGACCTGGACCCGGCAGCTTAAACTCATGCCAGGCGCGTGTGCGTACGTGCGTGCCCAAGATCCCGAGAGGAGAACAGAGGAGAAGGGATTGAGGCATGGTCATCCCCCCTGGTGGTGGGGGCGGGATTTCTCGCTTTCTGTCTCTCTGTCTCTCTCTGTCTTTCTGACGAGCACACGCCGTATAGCAAAAACCTCTCAAAAAAAAAAAAAAAGAAAATATTTTCCAATTTTTAATTGTGCATTTGATTAACAACACACACATATGAAATAGTAGGGAAGCTTTACAACAAGGGATACTTAGCCAAAAGACTGGGTAACTTTACTGTGATGGAGAACTCCAAGAAGAAAAACTGAAAATGTAACCATTTTCACCTGTTGTTTCAGACAGATGTATGACCACTATACCAACCTCTACCCACAGCTGATCAAGAAAGAGCCCATCATGGATAAAGTGCGGAATTTTATGATGTATGTACAATAACTTTCCTCTTCTTGTTGCTTTTAAGACAGCATTGCCCAAATGTGTAATTTTAAACAATCATTCCTTTGTCTCATTCCTTATCTATTTCTTAGCAGAACTCTAGAGCTATTTTTGTAGAAGAGTATAGCATTTTTTTGTTAATCGTATGAAAACCGTTTGCAGACATGCTCTCTAATTTCCACTCTTTCAAAGATCAGATTGAATATCATGTTATCAATTGCTAACACAGTTAGAGAAAGACGCCACCAACGCAACACAGGCAAAGTTACGCCTATGGTTTCCTTCCACATGAGTGTTCTTTTTGCAGGGATCCTTTCTCTCCCTCTTTAGGGTTTCTCCTTTATGTGGGGCTGGCAACTATTCTAGTGGGTTGTTAGCTGATATCTAAAGTTGTAACTCAACACCCTCTGAGAATATTTCCAGTTTGATACAGTTTTATGAATGTTAGGTTTTTTAATTTGTTAAAATTTGTGGGATAACAGATTAATTTGGGGACAGAAGGCGTTTGTTTTTGCCCTCTAAATCACACCCTAAGCAACCTCTTCATGACATACTTAAAGTTCTGTGAACATCAACTAGAAACCACTGGGTTTGACCCAGCTTCAGTGACCCAGGTGGTAAGAACCCACTGTGTGATGTTGGGGCCAAGCTTCAGATCTTGGATGACCTGAGCATGCTGGGTGTGCCCGTGTGTGCCTGTGATCATTGACTAGGAAGGCTGTGAGGAGGATCACAGTGTAGGGGATACCTGTGAAGGGCACCCCTCTCTTCTTGCTCATGAAAGAAAGAAACTTAAAAGGAAAAAAAAAAAAAAAAAAAGCCTGGGCTAGAGCCTTTAAAACAATGAATTATTCTATGACTCATCTAGAGATAGCTTGAATAAATAAATATCTTTTAGTATACAAACTTATGTCAAATCAAGCTATATAAAGTGCAGAGAAATAAAATAAGGTATAATAAAAGGCTATTAAAAAAAAAAAAAACTAAGACTTTTGCCAAGCATTCTAGACCAACGCATTGCAGCCAGTTTTAAGACCTAAAATGGGGAGCCCAGCAGATGTCATAGTGGTTATGATACTGAATTCCCACATGGTTGACTGTGGGGCAAGTCCTAGATTTGGTGGCTTGAAACTCACGCCTGGTACATGTGTATGCATGCCCAAGATCCCAGGAGGATGGAGGAGAAGGGATTGCAGCATGGCCATACGCCCTGGGGAGGGACATAATTTCTCTCTATCCCTCTCACTGTTTCTGTCTCTCTCTCTCCCCTGTGAGCACACATACCCTAAGGCAAAAACCTCTACCCAAAAGAAAGAACTGAAATGGAATGAACCAAAGTTAATCAACTTATCTTTATTGACTTAGTGAGACAAATACGTTTTATCCAAAGTGCGTTTGGAAGGTCTGTCCTTGACATTCTTAGGTCTCATTATCAAAGGTAGGTAAACATCACACCTGTGTTTTGGTTGTAGACAGAGCACAGAAGAAGCTATTTAAAAAAAAAAAATGTCACAGTCCTAGGCAGAAATTAAAAATCATTTAGAATTGGCCCTGAAATCCTTTGATTGAGTAGAATGTTACAAGATCTAAAACTTAAGTTGGACTAGCATAAGTATCTGAACATATAATCTCTAAATGCCTAGTTTGATTTAGCTTTGGATGAGCAACTACTAAGGCCTCATGTACAAATCTAATCTCCAATTTCCAGGAAACAAGATGAGTGGGCCCGGAAGAACATTAAAGAGTATAAGAATGACCCCTTTTGGAGACATACCGGCTATGTTATGACACAAATGGATGGGCTATATGTAGGAGCAATGAAGAGGGCTACAGTAGAAGGAACAAAGGTAAGCTTTTTAAGGATCTGTTCAAAATTTATGTGGTATGACAAGAATCTTTTAAAGAATTATTTTATTTATATTTATTTATGTATGTATTTATTTTAATTGACCAGAGAGGGACAGGGGAGGGTAAGAAAGCAAGCCACCAGGTTTGGACTGGAACCACAGTCAGTCATATGAGAGCCCAGTGCCCTTAACCACCACATCACCCTGCCAGCTCCTGACAAAAACATTGAAAACCATCTTTCAGCTCAGTCTCAGTGGTACGTTCAGTAGCATGCTGAACTGCAGTGCTGGAAGCCACATGGCCAACCACATTCAGATCTCCTGTCTGGTTGACTTAAAGGATGTTGGGTGTTGGGGCCAGCAGATAGCACAGCAGTTATGTTGCTGGACTACCACATGACTTACCATGATTCCAGTCCCAGACCCAGTGGCTTGAAATTCAGGCAACGCACATATGTGTGCATGACCAAGATCCCAGGAGGAGAATGGAGGAGAAAGGATTGCAGCATGGCTATCCCCCCTTGGGGGTGTTTCTCAGTTTCCCTCTCACTATCGCTGTCTCTGTCTCTCTCTCTCCTGTGAGCATACATGCCCTAAGGCAAAACCCCTAAAAATAAATAAATAAAGATACTACATGTTTACATGTGTGCCTAAGATACTGACAAGCTGGAGGGCTGGGAGAAAGGAAGCACAGTGTGATAAGACCCAGTCAAGGGTTCTTCTTTCTTTCTCTCTAAGGCACACACATGTGCTGTCATGAACAAAATAAATAAACTTTTATTTTTAAGACAGATTTTTGCTTTAGGGTACATGTGCTCACTTGAGAAACAGAGAGACAGAAAGTGAGAAATCACCCCTGAGGGGAATGGCCACCCTGCGATTTCTTCTCCTCCATTCTCCTCTCAAGATTTTGGGCACATAAGCTAGCATGAGTTTAAACCCCACGTGACTCTTAGGCCGCTGGGTCCAGGAGTCCAACTGTGGTCAACTGTGTGCCAGTCCAGTGGTATAACCCTTACGCCATCTGCTGGTCCCTAAACTTTTTAAAAAGAAAGAAAATTATCTTTCAAAATACATTCCATTTCAGAAGCAGATTAAATTAGGACTAGAGTATAAATTCTTTGAGGAGAAGTATTATCATATGTGTCATATTGTAGCAGCTAATTCACTGTCCTGCATAAAATCCAAGCTTAATACATGGATAAACACATGTTTCTGTGTTTTTCCATCTTTCATGATGCCGTGTTCAGGAGTAGGTTTAAAAGCCTGATATGAATGTACTGGCTTTATAACCAACCTGATGAAGCTAGTGTTGTGCTAATTAAGATAAAATGTCTAAGTGCACAAGTTCTGTGTTTCCTCATACTCTATTATATTTACATAAACACACACGCACATCATGATCCTGGGGAGAAGCTTTACTGAATTAGTAAGACTTCTAAGGTTCAATTTTATATACTTCCAAAAAATATGAATATTTTGTTTTCTAAGAGTAATAGGTGCAGGATCTTTAAAAAGTACATAGAAAATGTGTATTATGAAAAGCCTATGCATGAATTTTATTTTTGGCACTTTAATAAACTCACATTCTAGTCTCATTTTCTCACAGACTATTTTACAAATAATCATTTAATTTAATTTTCTGTATAATTATTATTATTGTTTTAATTTGAACCGAGAGAGGGGGAGGGAAAGTGAGAGACCAAGCCGCCAGGTCCAGGATTCAGACCATGGTCAGGCTTATGGGAGTCCAGCACCTTAATCACCAAATCACCTGCCAGCCCCCCTCACAAGCTTTTTAATGCACTTTTGTATATACAGTGGACAAAATGTACAAAATACAGTTTATAAAAAAGTAATGTTTCTTTCTTTTGATTACAGAGGGTATGTGCACTCATCCAGGAGAAAAACAGGGAGAGAAAGGGAGAAAGTACTCCTCAATGGGGTGTGGTTAGGCTGCAAGCCCTTCTCCTCCACTTCTCCATCATGTCAGGATCTGGGACATGTACATGCACCCACCCAGCACGTTTTCCAAACTGAGCTAATCAGACCAGGATTCAAACTACAAGAGGCCTGTAAGATCAGGTTCCCTGAGCCACTAGGCCACAAAATTGGCCCATGATGCACTTAATTCTTAAGCATATGACCTCAAACTTGCTCATAAGATTAGAAATGCAAATTGAAACTATGCCAATTCATATTTTCTTACTTATCAAAACTTGGCAAAAATTCCAAGTGGGTAACTATACTTTGTTGGCAAGGCTATGGGGGAAAAGCCACTCTTAAAACACTGGTGGAAGTGCAAAATGAAATATCGACTTCGGACAAGAATTTTGGCAGTCTGTATCAAAGTCGTATACTCACTTACTCTTCAACTCAGCAATTCCACTTTTAGTATTTTCACAAAGGCACACTGGCACAAATACAATATGGCATATGTGCAAGCCTATTTATTGCAGATAAGTTGTAACAGTAATAAACTGAAAATAGCCCAATACACAGAGGACTGGCTGCATAACTGATGCAGCTGTAAACAGAAATGAGGCAGCACTCCTTCTATTGTTCAAAGCGACCTTTGGGATTTGTTTTCAAATGTAAAAAAAGTAAGATGAAGAACAATGTGTATAATGTGTGACCTTTTACATAAGAAATGGAAACAAAGATTGACAGATTTGTGGATATACAGGTAGATTTACTTATCCTTTGAAGAAGAAACAATAATAAAAGAATAAAAACCTAAAACTAAAAAGCAAATGGTTACCTGTAAAAGAAGAAAGAGGGCTCAGCTGCTGTGGAGCGGCAGTAAGGCAAATGCCTACAAGGCTGGAAGCCATGTGGCCTTGACAACCATGGGTTGAGTTCCCAGCGCCAGCTTGAGACATGCAGGGTAGATTCAGGTGTACAAGATCCTGAGGAGCTGGGGGTCTGGGGGAAAGGAATTGGTAGCCTGTGGAAGCCCTGTCAAAGGTGTTTCTCTCTCCTCCCTTTCTTTCTCTCTCACTCTCCCCTCCCCACACCTGTGGCATGTGTGGGTATGCATTTTCAATCATAAAAAAAAAAAAAAAAAGTCCTGGAAAGAAGGAAGAAAAGCGAGTAAAGGGGATAGGAATGAAAGCTACCATTTCTGCAAATGTACCTCACTTTATAGATGTGACTTTGGAACCATGTAAATACTGTTCATAATAATAAAATACAATTTAACCACGAAGAAGAAAAGCAGTTTCTGAAAACTGAAAGCAAATCCACACAAATATATGTATATAAATTTATGGCACAAACAGAACAGTTATTTTAAGTGACATTTAAAGGCATTGCTGCAGGGACCAGCAGTTAGCATAATGGCTATGTCGCTGGACTCCCATTAGTGAACCGCGGTTCAAGTCCTGGACCCAGCGGCTTAAAATTCACGCTGAACACTTGTGCGTGTGTGCCCAAGATCCTAAGAGGAGGATAGAGGAGAAGAGATTACAGCATGGCCATGCCCCATGGGGGTGATTGCTCACTTTCTGTCTCTCTGTCTCTCTCTGCCTGGTGAGTGCATGCACCCTATAGCAAAAAAAAACCTCTCAAAAAAAAAAGTATTGCTGCACATCCTTAGTGGGATGGATTCTAAGGATAATAAGAACCAGCAGAAAAACAAACAAGAAGTCCATTACTGCATACAGTAATCTCACTTTAGTAATAACAGTGGTATTGTTATTTTGAAATTTGATATATAGAGAATTGGAAGAATAGATATAGTAAAATAAAGCAAGTAATTAATTATGTTAAATATCAAGATTTTCAGCATAGGGAAATAAATCAATGAAGTACAAACTGTTGTTTTTTAACTTGAATTACTATCATATTTTTAAAATATGTATTTCTTTGCTTAGTCACCTAAAAAGAAAGCACATGCACTCAACAAGACCAAGACAGAAAGAGAGAGAGGGGGAAAGAGGAAGAAAATACCTCTCAATGAAGCGTGGTTACACTGCAATCCCTTCTCCATTTCTCCATCCTATAGGGATTTTGCGCACACAAGCGCATGTGCCTAACGTGGTTTTCTTTCTTTTTATTCTTAAAAATAATTATTTAATATTATTTATTTATGTTAATTTACTATAGGGCACACATACTCACCAGAAAGAAGCAAAGAGAGAGAGAGAAGGAAAGTGAGAAAGCAAGCTGCCAGGTCCGATACTCTAACTGTGGTTAGCCATGTGAGAATCCAGTATCTTAACCACCTGTTGACCCCTGATGTGGTTTTCAAGCCACCAGGGATGGGATTCAAGCCATGTGGGATCTAGCTTCCTTAACCACAAGGCCATGGAACTGGCCCCCAAATTTTTGTATCTATAAGATATTTTAAAAGACTCTGGATAGGGGACAGTAGGTGACATAGTGGTTAAGGTGCTAAATTCCCACATGGCTGACTACAGGTTTGAGTCCTAGACAGAGCAGCTTGGAAAATCATGGCAGGCACATATGTGTGCACACCCAAAATCCTGAGAGGAGAATGTAGGAGAAGGGATTGTGGTGTGGCCATCCTCCCAGGAGGAGGGGAGGGGGTGATTTCCCACTTTTCCTCTCTTTGTCTTTCTCTGTCTCTCTCTGATTAACACATGCACCCTATGACAAAAACAAAATAATTTTTTAAAATAAAAAGACTCTGGATAGGCCAGCTGGTGGTAGTTAATGCAGTTCAAGTCCCTGACCTGGTAACTTGAAAAATACACAGGGTGAGAGTGTGTGCATGCCCAAAATCTCGAGTGTGTGCATGCCCAAAATCTCGAGTGTGGCCATCCCCTCTGGAGAGTACCCCTCTCTCTCTTTCCACTCCCATCTCTCAAGCATGCACCCTATAGCAAATAAAAAAAAAGAAAGAAAGAAAGAAAGAAAG